AATATATATATATATATATATATATATATATATATATATATATATTTTGGAATAAAGCCAAAACGGAAGTTTGACGTTAACTTGAAATATATTTTCAGCAGGGGAAGTGTCTGTGATGCAAGTTTATTACATAATTGTAAAATAAGACCCAGCTAGGAGTATACATTTTCTTTTGGCTATTTCATTATGTCTCATCAGAAGACAACCAGCACACAAGGAAACAGGACACCTGCTACAACTATTTTACTGGTCAACTTATTACAGCAATGTAAGCTTATTTCAATCAACACTGCAAATTAAGTGCCTTGTATGAATAATCATTTTCATCTGCAAATGCAAAAGCTGGGATTTTACTCAGATTAAAACAGCATCTTGATCTATTGATAATTCGTTTGTTCTCTGTCTATCCCAGACTCTAAACAATAAGCTTCAGCTTGCTTAATTGTGCTTACCCTGGAGATTATAAAAGAAGGGAGAGTGTTTACCAGAAATTTGAGTTGGGAAGACTGAACACCTTAATCACCCCACCAATCAATCCTTCCCATTAAATGTCTGGGAGAGTGTGATGACTTTGCAGCAGATCTCTGAAATCACTAAATCCTGGCTCTGGGGATCAAAAGGGTAGGTAGAGAGTGAATTCAAGCCTCCCAACCAAGAACATCCTGCACCACATTTAAACTGGAAAGGAGGTTGTTCACTCAAGTACTCCACCACAAGATGAGAGGGGGAAAACCCATTTTGGGCTTGATAGGTCAAATATCAATCTTAAAATTAGTATTAAAAGCAGGCTACTAAGGAGTCAAACTTCGTAGTTTACATCGGCTGAGCTTATTCACACATACAGGGGCTCCTTGCATTCATCCATTCCCAATCACAAGCTCCCTCTGTATCACACTACCCCACCCCATTATTTTTCAGGGAGTCCCTGCAACTCACGCTAATCTCCCCCCTGCTGGGGTCTCTGTGCCCCCTATTACCTACCCCCCTCATCCCACACCAGAGTCCCACATTCTGGCAGCTGTGTGCCCCTTGTTCACCTCTCCCATTCTTCCCCCTATGGCAGGGGTTCTGTGTACCCCCATTCCCCCACCCCATTCTAGGATCCCCCATTGTCCTTCCCACAGCAGGGACTCTGTGTACACTTCTATTTCTCCCTTCCCTACCTCCACTTATTCCAGTATCCCCAATTCTGCCCCTTCCCCTCCACAGACCAAGTCCCCCATTCTTTGCCCCATGGCTGGGGCTGTGTATGCCTCCATTCCCCTTTTGCCCCCACCATTCTTCTGTCTGGGACAGAAGTCATTCAGAGTGTCAACATGTTAAACTCTATTGGGAGGATAATAGGAGAGGAAAGGAGATACACTTTAACTGGAAAGTATTAAGGGGTGCCACCAACCAGTCTGATCTATAACCAATTACAGAGGTACTCAAGGTTGTGGCTGTGCTAAAGAGCTTCACGTGTCCCCCATTTTCCCTCAAATCAATAAGGTTCTGGCCAGTGATGTCTAGCACATTCCCTGAAATTACTGATCAGATGTAGCACTCAAAAGCTAGCACTCTACACAGAGACTCCATCAAGTGTAAGGCCTCCACAAGCTTAGCTAATACATTGGAAGAAATCAGCTATTTCAAATCAGTTATAAATTGAGCAGTTTTAATAAAACAGCACAGGCAATTCACCTTTCAACAATTACAGATTCCCAAATCCAATAAGCAATATTGCATGGTGGATTCAACTGTTTATCAATTCAAAGTTGAAGAGTGTTTTACTGACTCAAAGTAACATTTAAACCTTTAATATTAAAAGACCTTAAGTTTTGGTGTATCCAAGATTAGCACTTGGTCATATAAAACAGTCAGGGTCCATTATGGTGTCAAGGGGTCCTTTTATTTTTGAGGATTTAGGAGTTCCAAGGAATCTTGCTGCTGCTTTGGAAACCTAAAATGATGACGGGAGGAAGGGAGGGATCTGAACTCCTGGTGAGACAGGAAAAGATTGCCCAGCTGCTGATGTTGTTCTGCAGATTCCTCTGGGCCATGGGAAAGCATAAAGAACCCTCTACTCTATCAGAGGGGATCAAGCAACCTCCTCATCCACATCTGAACTAACAGCAGAAAACAGGAGACCCACCACCCTCCCCCATCCATAGAATAGACAACTACACCTCCCCTACCCAGAAAAGGGCCGTGTTAGAGGAGATTCAATATATCTACACTGCAATTAGACACTCCTGGCTAGCCCATGCCAGCTGACCCAGGCTCGCAGGGCTTGGGCTAAGGGGCTGTTTAATTGTAGTGTAGACGTTCAGTCTCAGGATGCAGCCTGAGCTCTAGGACCCTCCCACTTTGCAGGGTCCCAGAGCCTGGGTTCTAGCCAGAGCACCTACACTGCAATTAAATAGCACCTTAATCTAAGCCCCTTAGCCCAAGTCAGTTGGCATAGACCAGCCACAGGTTTTTAATTGAAGGGTACACAACACCTAAGCCATTCACTACCTGACCGCAGATACAAAAGCGGCAGGTGGAGCCAGAGGACTGTACAAGCAACATTTCTCTCTCTACCTCCCCAAACAAATGCCTTAGATTCTGAGGGGTGTGTATTGGAATAGGGAAAGTTGCACCAGTTCACTATTGCTGGAACTGGCTATCCTCCCAACTGCTAACAAAGGCCTCATCCTCTGAAGGGGAGGGGATAAGCTTGGGCAAACAGTTTGTGATTCCTCTCCAAGGTATTTCAAAAGTTTAACCTGAAAGAAGAGCAAGACCAGGAAGCCCCCATCTGCAGGCAGTGAGAGAGATACCCAGTGACAGTTAAACTAGCCACATTCCACCAATTCCCTCTCCTCCAAACCCTACTCTATAGCAGCACCACCTTTCTGTGCTGAGGGTACCCACCCTCGTCTCTACAATTCAGGTATATGGCATTAATCCAAGACTGCAGGGTGATGATTGCTTCTGCTGCTGGTGGGAGCGGTCTTGCTCCCCTCTTCTCATTTACCTAGGAATTTGGAGGTGGAAGCCTTGATAATCTCTCTCCCCCATACCAACTCTAGGAACTCCCTGATACTGCTTCATTGCCTCCTAGTTACTGAAAAGTCTCGCCAGGCAGACCTACTTTTGCTAAACCAGAGGGGGAGCATGACATCAGAATACCTTAGTGCCTCTAAATCCCCTCCTGAAATTCTGCGCAAGTGAACACTGCCAGTTCAAGAGGAAAAACAAAGCCCAGGCTACTTTTTTTTTAAAAAGATAAATGTAAATTAATACATTTTCCACATAAAAATGTGCTAAACCTATTTTAAACAGATGAGTGTGCTCAAATTAAGCAAGCTGCCCTAGATGAGTAAGATAACCATTAATTACTTTGCTTCCAATTTCTTGGTATTTGAGAAACTACATGCAGGTTAAGGGATATGTGCCAGTTTCTTTTATTTTACTATATATCATGTTGGAAATATGATGTGCGAACAGGATCTGAGAACTAAATTTCTCTTTTGATTACATTTATTAGCGTATGGGTGGAACACTGAATTTTTACTCCTGAAGTTCACTGCTGTGATACAAAAAAAACTGTATAAATCTGCTGAAAAAGTATGTTGAGGTTATTACTTACGTTGCTTGGGTAGAGCCTCTGCCAATCTCCTCAAGCTAGTCAGACTGTCAGCTCCAAGCTGATTTAAGATGCTGGGAAGCATTTCCGTCAGCTGCTTTGTCTCAGCATGGCCTGTGATAGTGAAAGTGTTAGCAGCCAGAGATGCCTGAACTTTAGGGTTGTTGAAGTGGATGACTGTTCCCTGGTTGGTAAACATGTTTACCTGCAAGAAAAAGTAAAAGCATATCAAGACAGTCAAATTTTGGACTATGATTTAATTTCAATAGAAAACTTGAACAACTAAGCCTTGTTCAAGCTCAAGGCTTACTTGCAATATTTTTAACAGTTCATGAGTATACTCAGAAGTAGATATAACAAACGTCACAAAACTTTTGTTTTTAAGGTTTTTTTTTTTTAATTTAAAGCAGTTACCTCTTCAATACCAGAGATGTTGTTGACTCCCAGTTTCTTTAAGGAGAATTGAAGTTTCTTGTCATCTGCTGTAGCTGTTCTGTGGACAACCTTCTTCTTTCTGCGAGCAGTTCCCTTTGTGGAAAGAACATATGGTTTTACCTTTATACTACAGCAGTTCTCAAATTAAAGAACTCTTATTTCACACATCACTCACAGGGGATGATGATAGTATAAATGTCAAGAAGGAAGAACTGGTAAATTTGATATCTACTTCAACATCATGGGCTAAAGATTTCAAACAAACACCCCATTTTAGCACACTTTAAAGATTTGCCAAGTATACTTTATGGAAAGTCTATCAAATCCTCTTTCCAAGAGAACCATTTCTGGAAAGGAGAATGGAAACCTTTCTAGGTTTCTTAAATTATATCCAAATTCTGATACTTTTATAAACTTAAAATTAAAGGAAACTCTCTGTAATAAGATGTATTCTAAATAAAAGGAGAGTACAAGAATGATTTCCTCAAGCTATCAGAAATCAAAGACTATTCATCAAAAAGAAATGAGAAAAAACTGTACAGAATCCCAAGAACAATAAGATATGCTACAGCACTACATAGGAATTTGTCACTCAAACACAGAGAAACTTTGCCCCAAGGAGATGATAGCTATGTCTGACAGAGATTGGGATCTGTCTTTTCTGATTTGGCAACTCATATTTTGCACATCAATAAAGGTACTATTGAACTGAATTCTAGGTCATACCCATTTACAAAGCAGAAGTCACCAAGAGATGAGTTCTCCCCTTGTTGAGGGCCAACTCCCCCCAACCAAAGCGCCCTAGATTTGTGATTTGGTGCAGTTCTTTGGCAGGGAAGACTGCTCTTCTGCATGTCAGAGAGCAGCATTGCCACTTTATGGCTTCTATTACAGTCACAAGATTTTGGCATCCCCTGAACTAAAGAGCGCAAAACTGATGGCTCTATTAACCTCATTCCTTTTCCTCCTTGAGTCTGCTGTCCCAAACCCTGCTGCTTCTGCTTCAGGCTGGCCAGATCCTAGCAATAAGAAACAGTTGCACATCCATCTAGACATAATTCCCTCAGAGAGAGTACCAATCAGTGAATTGGTCTAAAGAAAAACTTGGTGAACATTATGGGCTTTAATCCAATTGAAGCAAAAACCCCAGCCCCTTTTAAAGTTGTGTGTGGAGAAAGGCCCCCCCAGAATGGGTAGGCTAGGATAGGAAGAACAGTAGTAGCCCCAGTTAAGGTGAAACTCTACCACCAAATTGGAAAGGAATCTCAGCCTGAAACTCTCTGCCTGCCTAGAGTCTGAACCCAGCTCACTCAGCAATTTGAAACTGCAACCCAGAACAGTGACCTTTCATGTAAGGAGTGATTCAAAAGGAGTTTTTATCAGCCTGTCAGGACTACATTAATATTTCAGAACAAAAGGCTTTTTAATAGGTCTAGAAAGTCATGCTTTGC